GGGTCAACGAACATACTGATAAGTAACATTGCGAAACCAAGGATAAATATCTGTTTGATCATACTTCGTTCAAGAATTTTCACTCAACTATACCAATTACACACATAACCAAATTTGTAGCAGATATGTAGAACTGTTCCAGTGCTCGTATAAAATTTTCAGCAAGTTTGTTTTTCAACATGTGAATAAGTATGTATTTACAACCGCGTCGAGCAATTAATGGGTACAGGATTTAAGAGGAAAATATTAATTTTTTTTTCAAATAAAATCTTTTTTACTCTTGACACCTTTAAAGAGAAAAACCAGAATCATTCAGTGTATTGGTTTACAGTTAAAAGGCTCCTGATGGGGCATTGTTTTCGCTTTTGAAATTATGTGCAAAGACTGAAGGAAATCTGTAGACTTCAAATGTATCACTAGATGCTGCTACATCCAGCACCCCAAATTTTCTATTTTTCAGATTCGCTGAAACTTCGCTCAGAGGAGTGATTTGATATGTAGATCACAGCTATACTAACCATACTGCAGGTAACAGCCACAGTATAGTATTAAGGCAGTTAACACAGTGGGGAATAAGATAGTGAATAGTTAGTGTTAAAAGTTGGTGAAGTCATTTGATGCGCTAATCTCAGGGTGTTATATTGACCGATATTGATTCCTCCGAATGAATGAATGAATTATAACAAGTTCAACAATTGCTTGCCAGAACACACTTCCAAAGATCGCGCCTGGTGCTGCGTGAATCTTTGCTTGATGGGCTGTTGTATGATTAGTGCTCAAAGTCAGCCCCAGCATTACATAGTTGCATACTGGGAAGCCATAATCGTACGGTTTCAGTGGCTGTTGAAGGCCAATAGAACTAGCACTTGTTCTCTCATAGGTAGGGAGTTCAAATTGTTCTCGGCGATGCGCCTTAATTTCAGTTAGGTAGTGCATATTGCATACTAGGAATTCAAACGAATAACAGCAAAAAGTAAAAGATAACTCAGCGACAGCAACGATGGAAGTAGTTAGATCTCTTCATTTAGACTTTTATGTATGATTTGTGACTTAGAACTCTATACAACTAATCCAAAAAGGGAAAAACATAATTGGGGTAAAAAGCAATTAGCATTAAGAGTAGAATAATAGAAATGAAACAGCGCTCGCTTTTCAAGTGACTAGGGGTGACAACTCTTACAGAGTTGCTTAAGAAGCAGCAATTAACGGGAACCAATCAACTCAATTTTGGAGTTTCAATGAAAACGCTGATTTGGTTGCACAACGAGCGCTTCGGGGGAATCCTATGTAGTCCGCAGCACCTGAGAAAAGGGTAGTTGCCAAGCAACTTTCCGCATTCATCGGTTTACGAAAAAGGCGATGCTTTCAATGAATGATTAATAGAAGGTGAAAGTGACAATATATTGTATGAGAAAGAAAGCAGAAAGCACTTACTCATGCGAGGAAATCCTACATAGTCGATGTTCAAAAGTTGCGTAAGAACAAAACGTGGTGGGGAGAATTGTAGAAATGGTGGTGTGATAGATTTGTAATTTTTAAAGTTATCG